GTTTGCCACCAACAGTCGGCGAGCGGGGACGACTGCAATTACCCGTCTCATGGCCGACTTGCATTTCATGCACGACATTTGGCATGTAAAAAACCACACGGCTTGTCTGCGAGACGATGCCGAGGCTGCGATCTTAGACCCCCGGCGTCCAGAGAATCAGCGTTTTCGCGGCCGGGTAAATACAGGAGCATGTGAGCAAGCATTTGCTTTCGTAGATAGGATTACATACGTTGGGATGGCGATGGGGCCAGGCCTTTTCCATTTCTACACATACATGGTCACGCGCGCAGAAAATCTCAAGGTCGCGCGGCGCCGGGCCAAGAGGCTCGCAGAGCCGCGAGGAATTAGAGTTGCGAGCGCGCCTGGGCAAGAAAAAGTGAGCACCTAGATTTTTCATCGCGATTGAAAAACGGAGCGCCCTCTGCTAAGGGGGCCCCGCCCAGCGCCCCGTATGTTGCGCAGCGCCCTCCGTCAGCCCAGGCCCTCCCAAAGTCGACTTAACGAAAAATCCGTGGCGTTAAACATGTCTTGTCTGTTGCGCAGAGCCCTCTCTGTTGACGCACGGCGGTGCGTCATCATCGCTTGGAGTTGTCTTGGGGGTCCTCTGGGGCGGGTCTTGGCGTCCTCTGGGGGTCGAGCAGCGACGGCGTCTTTTCAGAAGGGGCCCGGGATGGCACAGGACTGCGTGGAAATGCGCGCGCGGCCAGACCCATGAGACCCAGTAAAAAATGGGATAGGAGTTCACCCAGTTCAGCACCGACTGGGCAGATTCCCAGCGCGGCCCCCCGACCCCAGGGAAGGCCCGGGAATCTCCCCACATCGCCCCAATGTTCATCTGGTGGGCCTCCTCGGGGCTTCTTGGGAGCTCCGTGAACTTCTTGGGAGACCCAAAAGGGATCTCTGGGAACCTCTTGGGGCATGCTTGGGGCCAATTCGGTGGCCTTGCGCATGGACAGACGTCGCCGCCCGCAGCCTTTGGTGCAAGCCGTGTCCTTGTCGTTTCCAGGCGACGATCATTGCGCGGCCTCCGACGGCGGCAACTACCAGCGATGGCACTCCTGCCGCGCGCTCGCGCCGTTCCTCCATGGACGCGTCGTCGCAGGACCCCTTCGAGGACGCCTTCGCCCACGCGGCGTCGCAGGAGGACGAAGCGGCAGCTGCCCCGCAAGCCGCTGCTGAGTGGTTCGCGGCCCCGGGGCCCGACAATGCGCCGCTGGGCGAGAGCGCTCCAGCGCGCAAGTTGAGCCGCTCCGACATGGACGCCGCATGCGATGCCATGGAGGGCGTGGTTTTCCCATGGGATGAGATCACGCGGCTGGCTGGAGCGGGCGTCGAGGCATGGCTGAAGGAGCTGCATGGGGCCCTGCAGCTGCCGATGGCACTTGTTTTCCTCATGATCGCGCCCCTGTGCGCGTTCTCGCTTCACGGTGCCCAAGCCCAATGCACCAAGATGCTCGCGGTGCCGCCGTTGCCGTGGCTCGGCGTCGTCGGAAGGGCGGGGGGCGGCAAGAGTTTGGCAGTCTGGTTCGCGAAGCAAGTGATGATGGAATTGCAGAATCGCATGAACCCCCCAGATTCTGGCGCAAAGTCGGACGACGAGGCCGAAGAGGGACCGGGCGCCGACGGCGGAGCGGCTCCCGAAACCGACGGGGCTGGCAAGCGCAAGAGCACAGGCAAGGACAGCACCCGCAAGGCCAAGCGGCAGAAGAGGTTGATCGCAGACACGGGCACCCTCGATGGGTTCTTCGCGCAGATGGCCAAGAATGGCAACCGGGCGTACGTGGCCTTGCACGAAGGCAAACCCTTTCTTTCGAAAGTTCTCGCAGAGGTGCCCGGATTTGACCCGCAAGCTTTGAACAAAGCATACGATAGGGATGAAGTGTCCAACACTGTAATGTCCAGCAGCTCTCGTTTCACCATGCATTACCCCTGGATGGTTATGTTCATGGCAGTCCATTTGGAAGATCTGAAAATGCTCTTCGGCGATGATGGCAAGGACCCTTGCGCAATCTTTGCGCGATTTGATTTCTTCGCCCGCGACGGTTCCGTTCCAGGTCGCGGACGTGCTGCAGCTCATTGAGGCGCAATTCGTGGACATCTCCAAGGAGAAGGAACCTGGCGCCCGCCACCATCCTTGTTTCAGCAGCCGTTCCAAGCTGTGGAAATCCCACAGGACAGCGAGTTTTTCAAGACCACGTACAACAAGCACGCGCATGCTCAACGAGGCGCCAAGCAGTGCGGCAACGACAAGGAGGCTTCTCGCGAGGCGAAGCTGAAGACAAAGCAGCGCCGCTACGCGACCCCCATCGACGCTTCCCTGAAGGCAGTCGCGCAGAAAGCTGATCTGGACAAGTACCGCCAGGAGCAGATTGCCGCAGCCGAAGGCGATGCTGTGAGAAGCGTGCTGGAGGGGATGCCCATCATGGCCTTGAGGCAGCGCGTGATCGACAAGAACCCAGCCGAGGCCGACCAAATGGGCTTGCCTTTGTGGCCGCGCAGCGTCGCAAGCGAGGCCGCCGAAATCGGTTATTTGGTGAGCCAGTACTTGGCAGAGGAGAACATTGCGCTCGTCGGCTACCTGCGCGGGGGCGGCGGCGCGGCGGACCAGAAGGAAGCCGACGACGGCGAACGCATCGGAGGCCTCAACGACGAGAAGCTTGCGGAGGCGTTGCAGTCCGTGGACGTCGACAAGGTGAAGCGCTGCACGGCCGGCCTGCTGTCCCTGCCCGACAAGGTGACCCTGGTCAGCGCAGCGAAGAAGGCCGTCCGGCTTGCGTGCGACAGTCGCGTGTTTGATTGCGCGCTCACCCTGCTGTCGCACGCGCGCCTGGCTTCCAGGGTCGCTTGGAAGAAGCCAGGGAACCCTGGTGCGCCCGCCTCGTACATTCTGCTGAACGGCGAGTTCGCTGAACCCGTCCGCATGGCGCAACTAGACGCGGCCAATCTGCTCAAGCATTTCCCAGGGGCCTCCCTCGAGACTTTCTTGAAGCAGAAGGAGGACGAGGTGTCCAAGTACGTCGTTCCGCTCCACAACGCGCCGCCTGTGAGCAGCTCGTGCTTGGCCGCGTTCACGCAGAAGTGGTTTCCTCTACTCGGCGCCCAGGCCTGCCCGCCCGAGCTCGAGGCGTCGGCCAGCCAGGCAGCGTCGCCGTCCCAGATGCAGGCGCCGACGCCGCCAGTTGCAGATGCGGCGGCGCGTCTGTCCCCAGAAGGCGCCAACCGCATTCGGGCGCACTTCCGCTGGCTCATTTGCTCCTGCACCCTGGCGGAGATCAAGAAGACTTACGTCCAGAGCCGCATTGAGGGTTTCCAGGCCCAAAGCGAGGAGTGGCAGACCTTGTTGAACACCTTTGTGGCCATGGGCCTGGCCGTCGACACCACGAAGGGCAACAGTAATGGCTCTTTTTCCCTGCGCGGCCCAGGGGGGGAGAACGTGGACGTCGTGGTGAGGGGTCTGAAGTCCTGGTTCACAGAGGTGCAAGACAAGGGGGAGAAGGCAATGACGAAGCGGTTTCAGGACATCGCGGTGTCCAAGTCCTTCAACGTCGCACCCTTCCACGAGGTCATTGCGAAGCTCGGGGGGGCTCCGCAGTGACGGCGATCATGGGGCGGCGGCTCGTGCTGCTCGTAATTCGCAGGCATGGGACTTGCTCAGGTTGCTGGTCGTTCGGTTCGAGCCGCGACGGCAACTTTTAGCTCGTTGTATTTTTTGCCAGACCACCGGAGCCGGCTGCGAGGATGGCCGCGCCCTTCGCAGGGCGTCGCCCGTGGTCGTTCACGGCGAGCTCCACAGATGCATGCCAATTCGTGACCATCGAAGCATTGATTGTTTCGAGCCAGAAAATGCAGACTGGGGCATTCGGTTCCCCAACATGACGGCGTTGACATGTCTGAGAGAGCTCCCAGAGAGGCTCCAGGGAGAGGGGGTCACGAGGCCCAAACGGCGCTTGCCCACGCTTATAGAAGCGAACGTTCTTGGTGTTAGACGTGCCCCGTCTGTTGTGCAGTGCCTTGTGCTACGCGAGGCCCCTCCCCAAGGTAAGTAGGACAACGCCATTGGTGTTAGACGTGCCCTGTTTGTTGCACAGCGCCCTCTGCTAGGCCAGGCCCCTCCCCGAGTCGAATAAAAAAAACATCTTTGGTGTTGGACGTGCCCCGTCTGTTGCGCAGCGCCCTCTGCTAGGCGAGGCCCCTCCCCAAGTCTACTTTTTTACAAAAAAATAAACACAGCCAAAAAACAAACATCTGTGGTGTTAGACATGCCCCGTCAGTTGTGCAATGCCCCTTCTGTTGTGCAGTGCGTCCTTGGTGTAAGACATGTCCTGTTAGAGCTCGAAGCGAGTTCTTCTAACTGAGCTCTTACATTGGGACCCGCGGTGGGTCATCATCATCGCTTGGAGCTGTTTTGGAGGTCCTCTTGGGCCGTCTTCGCGCCCTTTGGGGCCGAGCAGTGGCGGCGTCGGTCCAGAAGGGGCCCAGGATGGCACAGGACTGCGTGGAAGCGCGCGCGCAGCCAGAACCATAATACCCTGCAAAAAACGGGACGGGAGGCCACCCAGTTCAATACCGACTGGGCAGATTCCCGCTGCGGCCTCCCCGACATCAGTGAAGGCCCGGGACGTTCCCCACATCGCCCCAATGTTCCTCTGGTGGGCTTGCTGGTGGTTTCGAGGGAGCTCCCTGGGGCTTCTTGGGGGACCCAAAAGGGCTCTCTTGAGGCATTCTTGGGGCTCCAAAGGGCGGAAATCATTTTTTTGTTTGTTTTTGTCGCTCGTTTGGGCCCTTCAGGTGGTGTTTTGACACCCTCTTCGGCCGTTTTGGGTCGGTCTTGGGTTTTTTTGGGGCCGACTTGGGCGTCTTGTCTCCCCACATCGCCCCAATGTTCATCCGGTGGGCCTCCTCGGGGCTTCTTGGGAGCTCCGTGAACTTCTTGGGAGACCCAAAAGGGATCTCTGGGAACCTCTTGGGGCATGCTTGGGGCCAATTCGGTGGCCTTGCGCATGGACAGACGTCGCCGCCCGCAGCCTTTGGTGCAAGCCGTGTCCTTGTCGTTTCCAGGCGACGATCATTGCGCGGCCTCCGACGGCGGCAACTACCAGCGATGGCACTCCTGCCGCGCGCTCGCGCCATTCCTCCATGGACGCGTCGTCGCAGGACCCCTTCGAGGACGCCTTCGCCCACGCGGCGTCGCAGGAGGACGAAGCGGCAGCTGCCCCGCAAGCCGCTGCTGAGTGGTTCGCGGCCCCGGAGCCCGACAATGCGCCGCTGGGCGAGAGCGTTCCAGCGCGCAAGTTGAGCCGCTCCGACATGGACGCCGCATGCGATGCCATGGAGGGCGTGGTTTTCCCATGGGATGAGATCACGCGGCTGGCTGGAGCGGGCGTCGAGGCATGGCTGAAGGAGCTGCATGGGGCCCTGCAGCTGCCGATGGCACTTGTTTTCCTCATGATCGCGCCCCTGTGCGCGTTCTCGCTTCACGGTGCCCAAGCCCAATGCACCAAGATGCTCGCGGTGCCGCCGTTGCCGTGGCTCGGCGTCGTCGCAAGGGCGGGGGGCGGCAAGAGTTTGGCAGTCTGGTTCGCGAAGCAAGTGATGATGGAATTGCAGAATCGCATGAACCCCCCAGATTCTGGCGCAAAGTCGGACGACGAGGCCGAAGAGGGACCGGGCGCCGACGGCGGAGCGGCTCCCGAAACCGACGGGGCTGGCAAGCGCAAGAGCACAGGCAAGGACAGCACCCGCAAGGCCAAGCGGCAGAAGAGGTTGATCGCAGACACGGGCACCCTCGATGGGTTCTTCGCGCAGATGGCCAAGAATGGCAACCGGGCGTACGTGGCCTTGCACGAAGGCAAACCCTTTCTTTCGAAAGCTCTCGCAGAGGTGCCCGGATTTGACCCGCAAGCTTTGAACAAAGCATACGATAGGGATGAAGTGTCCAACACTGTAATGTCCAGCAGCTCTCGTTTCACCATGCATTACCCCTGGATGGTTATGTTCATGGCAGTCCATTTGGAAGATCTGAAAATGCTCTTCGGCGATGATGGCAAGGGCCCTTGCGCAATCTTTGCGCGATTTGATTTCTTCGCCCGCGACGGTTCCGTTCCAGGTCGCGGACGTGCTGCAGCTCATTGAGGCGCAATTCGTGGACATCTCCAAGGAGAAGGAACCTGGCGCCCGCCACCATCCTTGTTTCAGCAGCCGTTCCAAGCTGTGGAAAATCCCACAGGACAGCGAGTTTTTCAAGACCACGTACAACAAGCACGCGCATGCTCAACGAGGCGCCAAGCAGTGCGGCAACGACAAGGAGGCTTCTCGCGAGGCGAAGCTGAAGACAAAGCAGCGCCGCTACGCGACCCCCATCGACGCTTTCCTGAAGGCAGTCGCGCAGAAAGCTGATCTGGACAAGTACCGCCAGGAGCAGATCGCCGCAGCCGAAGGCGATGCTGTGAGAAGCGTGCTGGAGGGGATGCCCATCATGGCCTTGAGGCAGCGCGTGATCGACAAGAACCCAGCCGAGGCCGACCAAATGGGCTTGCCTTTGTGGCCGCGCAGCGTCGCAAGCGAGGCCGCCGAAATCGGTTATTTGGTGAGCCAGTACTTGGCAGAGGAGAACATTGCGCTCGTCGGCTACCTGCGCGGGGGCGGCGGCGCGGCGGACCAGAAGGAAGCCGACGACGGCGAACGCATCGGAGGCCTCAACGACGAGAAGCTTGCGGAGGCGTTGCAGTCCGTGGACGTCGACAAGGTGAAGCGCTGCACGGCCGGCCTGCTGTCCCTGCCCGACAAGGTGACCCTGGCCAGCGCAGTGAAGAAGGCCGTCCGGCTTGCGTGCGACAGTCGCGTGTTTGATTGCGCGCTCACCCTGCTGTCGCACGCGCGCCTGGCTTCCAGGGTCGCTTGGAAGAAGCCAGGGAACCCTGGTGCGCCCGCCTCGTACATTCTGCTGAACGGCGAGTTCGCTGAACCCGTCCGCATGGCGCAACTAGACGCGGCCAATCTGCTCAAGCATTTCCCAGGGGCCTCCCTCGAGACTTTCTTGAAGCAGAAGGAAGACGAGGTGTCCAAGTACGTCGTTCCGCTCCACAACGCGCCGCCTGTGAGCAGCTCGTGCTTGGCCGCGTTCACGCAGAAGTGGTTTCCTCTACTCGGCGCCCAGGCCTGCCCGCCCGAGCTCGAGGCGTCGGCCAGCCAGGCAGCGTCGCCGTCCCAGATGCAGGCGCCGACGCCGCCAGTTGCAGATGCGGCGGCGCGTCTGTCCCCAGAAGGCGCCAACCGCATTCGGGCGCACTTCCGCTGGCTCATTTGCTCCTGCACCCTGGCGGAGATCAAGAAGACTTACGTCCAGAGCCGCATTAAGGGTTTCCAGGCCCAAAGCGAGGAGTGGCAGACCTTGTTGAACACCTTTGTGGCCATGGGCCTGGCCGTCGACACCACGAAGGGCAACAGTAATGGCTCTTTTTCCCTGCGCGGCCCAGGGGGGGAGAACGTGGACGTCGTGGTGAGGGGTCTGAAGTCCTGGTTCACAGAGGTGCAAGACAAGGAGGAGAAGGCAATGACGAAGCGGTTTCAGGACATCGCGGTGTCCAAGTCCTTCAACGTCGCACCCTTCCACGAGGTCATTGCGAAGCTCGGGGGGGCTCCGCAGTGACGGCGATCATGGGGCGGCGGCTCGTGCTGCTCGTAATTCGCAGGCATGGGACTTGCTCAGGTTGCTGGTCGTTCGGTTCGAGCCGCGACGGCAACTTTTAGCTCGTTGTATTTCTTGCCAGACCACCGGAGCCGGCTGCGAGGATGGCCGCGCCCTTCGCAGGGCGTCGCCCGTGGTCGTTCACGGCGAGCTCCACAGATGCATGCCAATTCGTGACCATCGAAGCATTGATTGTTTCGAGCCAGAAAATGCAGACTGGGGCATTCGGTTCCCCAACATGACGGTGTTGACATGTCTGAGAAAGCTCCCAGAGAGGCTCCAGGGAGAGGGGGTCACGAGGCCCAAATGGCGCTTGCCCGCGCTTATAGAAGCGAACGTTCTTGGTGTTAGACGTGCCCCGTCTGTTGTGCAGTGCCTTGTGCTACGCGAGGCCCCTCCCCAAGGTAAGTAGGACAACGCCATTGGTGTTAGACGTGCCCTGTTTGTTGCACAGCGCCCTCTGCTAGGCCAGGCCCCTCCCCGAGTCGAATAAAAAAAAAATCTTTGGTGTTGGACGTGCCCCGTCTGTTGTGCAGCGCCCTCTGCTAGGCGAGGCCCCTCCCCAAATCTACTTTTTTACAAAAAAATAAACACAACAAAAAAACAAACATCTGTGGTGTTAGACATGCCCCGTCAGTTGTGCAATGCCCCTTCTGTTGTGCAGTGCGTCCTTGGTGTAAGACATGTCCTGTTAGAGCTCGAAGCGAGTTCTTCTAACTGAGCTCTTACATTGGGACCCGCGGTGGGTCATCATCATCGCTTGGAGCTGTTTTGGAGGTCCTCTTGGGCCGTCTTCGCGCCCTTTGGGGCCGAGCAGTGGCGGCGTCGGTCCAGAAGGGGCCCAGGATGGCACAGGACTGCGTGGAAGCGCGCGCGCAGCCAGAACCATAATACCCTGCAAAAAACAGGACGGGAGGCCACCCAGTTCAATACCGACTGGGCAGATTCCCGCTGCGGCCTCCCCGACATCAGTGAAGGCCCGGGACGTTCCCCACATCGCCCCAATGTTCCTCTGGTGGGCCTGCTGGTGGTTTCGAGGGAGCTCCCTGGGGCTTCTTGGGGGACCCAAAAGGGCTCTCTTGATGCATTCTTGGGGCTCCAAAGGGCGGAAATCATTTTTTTGTTTGTTTTTGTCGCTCGTTTGGGCCCTTCAGGTGGTGTTTTGACACCCTCTTCGGCCGTTTTGGGTCGGTCTTGGGTTTTTTTGGGGCCGACTTGGGCGTCTTGACGCCTTACTTGTGCGTCTCGGGGCCATGCCAACTCATTTGAAACGCATTCATTTGGCATCCATTTGAAGCGCTGCGCCGCTCCCACCCATCACGCCTGCCTGCAGCCAGCATAGGCTGCCGAGGCGAAGCGCGCGAGTTGCTCGCTGGTTCGGCTTTGGGCTCGCGGGGAGGGGACCCGATTTGAAGTGCGCACGGCTCCGTCTGTGGAGCCTCGCTTCGGGCTCCGAGGCCGGCAGAGACGAATCTGGAACGACATTTTGCCGAGGCTGCAGGCCAGGGTCAGCCTGGCACCTCCTCCTCCTCCTCCTCCTCCTCCTCCTCGCCCCCTGTCTTCCTCGTCTTCCCCTTAGTTTTCTCCTCCTCCTTCTCCCCCTCCTCCTCCTCCTCTTCCTCCTCCTCCTTCTCCCCCTCCTCCTCCTCCTCCTCCTCTTCCTCCTCCTCCTCCTCCTCCACTCCCCCCCCCTGTTCTCCTCCTTTTCTTCTTGTTCCTCCTCCTCCCGCTCCCCCTCCATATCCTCTCTCCCTTTCATCCTGCTGTTTCTTCCTGCTGTAATCTTCCTTCTGCTCATATTTCTCCTCCATCCTTTTTCCTCTTCCGCCGTTTGCTCCTCCTCCTCCTCCTCCTCCTCCTCCTCCACCACCTCCACCACCTCCACCTCCGCCTCCTCCTCCTCCTCCTCCTCCCGCTCCTTCCCAAATCGATTTGTCACGAACAAAAGCCCTTGGTCTTAGAGTTTCCGTCTGTTGCGCAGCGCCCTCTGCTAGGCGATACCTATCCCCAAGCCGATTGAAACAACATTTGTTGTTTTAGACATGCCCCGTCTGTTGTGCAATGCCCCGTCTGTTGTGCAATGCATCCTTGGTGTTTCGGAGCCCTGACACCTCGTGCGGCCCTGCTTCCAGATCCGACCCCGAGGGACGTTCATTCAGGCTCCGATTCCGACCATGTCGTGCGGCCCCTTTTTGATTCGCCTCTGCCATTTGCAACCCTCGAGACCTATCGCCTCAAGCGACCCAGCCTCAGGTTAGGGTTTTTTGCCAAGGAGATGCCTGAAGCCAAGAAGACATTCGAGACCCTACTTGCCAATGGGTTGAAACCTGATTTGCATGGCCAGGAAGAGAGTAGGGATTCTCGACGTTTCGCGTATCCCACCCAAACCTCGTGAATGCTTCCCGGAACTTCTTGGAAGCCTCGTTGGGCATCGTGTGGGCCTCTGGGCGGCCCCGGGGCCTCTCTGAGCCTCTGGGGTGCCTCGGGGAGTCTTGTGGCCACCCTGGGAGGCCACATGGCCACTCGGAGCCGTCATCAGGCGGTATTGGGCCCTCTTGGAGCATCTTGGGCACCTCTTGAACAATCTTGGGCTATATTCGGACATCGAAGAAGTCATGATGGCTCTCTGAGGCCATCTTGGAACCATCTTGGGCCATCGTGGATGCCCCTACCTACCCGAAAGGGAAGCAGGGAAGATGAAAGAAGAAACGCTCCAAACGATTCACGCCCACAGGGCTGGTGGGATTTACGGAAGCTTAAACGTCTTACTTACACGAGTGTACTGCACAAAAGCTACGATGCCTGGAAGTCCCTCGCATTGATTTGCCGCACGCAGCCAACGACGCAGTGCAAACGCAAGTTCATGGCGACATTTTTGGCGTGTTACGTGGTGTGCCGCTGCGTGGCTGGCCGGCCCGTGGAAGCGTTCATCCCAAAAGGACCTCTGAGTTTGTCGAAGGAAACACACGAGGAATTCATCAACACGAGGAACCCGATGAACCCAGAGGGCGTCGGCACTATGCGCAAAATCGTAGGGCTCCTAGCCCTCCATCCCGTTTACAAAGACACTGGCGATGACAAATATTTTGAACAAGGGAAACCATGGTGGCTGCACCAAACCCGTTACGCGAGATCAGATTCGCACAAGATATGGGTGATTCTGACTGCATTATTTTTCTTACTCGTTCGCTCGACGCGGGTACTGGACTATACAAACCGCCTGTTGACGCGAACCGCCACCGTGCTATTATCCCCTACGAGGAGGAGGAGGAGGAGGAGGAGGAGGAGGAGGAGGAGCAGGAGCAGGAGCAGGAGCAGGAGCAGGAGGAGGAGGAGCAGGAGGAGGACGAGGAGGAGGAGGAGGAGGAGGAGGAGGAGGAGGAGGAGGGAAGAGGAGGAGGAGGAGGAGGAGGAGGAGGAGGAGGAGCAGGAGGAGGAGGAGGAGGAGGGGAAGGAGGAGGAGGAGGACGAGGAGGAGGAGGAGGAGGAGCAGGAGGAGGCGGAGGAGGAGGAAGAGGAGGACGAGGAGGAGGAGGAGAAGGACGAGGTGGAGGAGGCCGTTGTTGTGCAGCGCCCTCTGCTAGGCGATGCCCCTCCCCAAGTCCATTTAAAAAAGGCATCCTTGGTGTTAGACGCGCCCCGTCTCTTGTGCAGCGCCGTCTGCTAGGCGAGGCCCCTCCCCAAGTCGATTTAAAAAGGCATCCTTGGTGTTAGACGCGCCCCGTCTCTTGTGCAGCGCCGTCTGCTAGGCGAGGCTCCTCCCCAAGTCGATGTTAAAACGTCATCCTTGGTGTGAGACGTGCGCCGTCTGTTGTGCAGCGCCTTCTGCTAGGCGAGGCCCCTCCCCAAATAGATGTTTTAGTTAAAAACAAAACATCCTTGGCGTCATGCGCGCCCAGTCTGTTGTGCAGCGCCCTATGCTTGGCGAGGCGCGTATTCATAAAATCACCTTTGGTGTTAGACGTGCCCCGTCCGTTCTGCGGCGCCCATCGGTGGGCGAGGCCCCAGCCGCTCCAACTCCTACGCCCAGCTGTGCCGCCGTTTCTTTTACGCACACAACCACCACTAATCCACAGCGATCCTTCCACGCCAATCCCACACCACAGCCCACGCAGTGCCCATATCGCGCTGGCGGATTTGTCTGACCACCCTGACTTCCTGCTGTCATCCATGACCCAGTTCTCCATGCTCTGGGACGCGACGGTGCTCCCACACACGAACTTCTACGGCATGAGCGACGAGAAACCGCGGAACCAGCACACGACCGACCAGAAAACTTGGACTGCAGGACAGGCACTGGACAACCTCCTGGCGCCGGCATGGCGAGACCCAGGCGCATTGCGCACCTTGCTCTCTGTTCGGACGGGGAAGCAATTCACAAAAGCGCTGTCGAAGCAAAAGGGGTTCGGTGGAAATCTTGTTTTCAGCCACACCCTTGAATACCTCCAGCTTTGGGGCAGCTGTGCGATCGTCCCGTTGTTCACGGTCCACTTGCGAAAGCACATCCTCGCCCGCTACATTCGCCCGGGCAAGAACTGCAAGAACTTCCTCGACATCTGCAACGCCGTCAGCCAGCGCGGCGGCTCCCCCGGAAACTGGACGCTCAATCAGCTCGCGGCAGACACGTGGGAATCGCTTCCGCGGGGAGTGCGTTTGCAAGGCTGCCCGCAAGTGGACTTTCCGCACTTCAATGCCACCGACGCCCAGCAGAACACTTGCAAAGCCATGCAGGTGGCACAGACCTTGGTCACCGGCAAGACGAACAGCCGCGAACGCGCCAGCAAGCGGCCGGCTGATTCTGCTCCGGAGGCGTTTTCGAAGAAACAGAAGCAGTAAATTTCCAGTGGGCACTAGCTAGCGTGCGGCGTGCGTAGCTCGAGCTCCCCGAGGGGATGTGAAAAAAAGGGCGCCCTCACCAAGGGGGGGACCTCCAGCGAGGAGGTCCACGATGCCTCCCCGAG